AGAGTTTCTGACCTTTAGAGTAGAATCAGGAGCAGCAGAAATAAAGAGGTATATAAAAATTATCATACAATGCAAAAGCAGGGTAAAATACCACAAAATAGACATGGGTAAATATTTAACAAAACTCCTTCCTCTTCTATATGAGTTTCTGATCGTAATTTAACTTTCTATTTCTGTTCCCCATAAAACCTGATTCATTATTTTACAATACACCTGTTAGGCATTTGATTGGTAAATTGTTTCTGGACTAAAAGAACTATTCCTACTTAATATGAGGATGTTATGGATTTAAACTTCTCTTTCTTGTACCTGACCTGTCACCTGAGAAACCAAAGAAAATAGGTCCTGGATGGCTGACAATACTCCTACGTGAACTGCTGCATGCTTCTACACTGAAGAAAAACACTGATGCTAAACTCTGACAAGCTGTCATTCCTCTCCAATATATCATGCAGAAAGGCATCAAGTAAATTTCAATGTTTGGTTTAAACCGAATAAAACTTCACTGGAGTTGCAAAAGATCAAATTTCTAGGGTATAGACTCTAAGGAGTTCAAGAGAAGAATAAGGCTACTTGAACAATAAGAAGAATAAAGAACATCATGAAGTTTCACTGAGATGAGAACATTTCTGAAAGATACACAGGGTTTTGACCAGATATATGTTCTATTGAAAAAAATCCTTTAAAAACTGTAGTAACAATGGAGAAAGGCAATACCCCATGCATATGCAAGGAGATAGGAAAACATGGAAGGTAAACTCTTCAAGGAGTATGGAGAGGTCAGTTAGACTTAGGAGTAGTGTTTATTCATTTAGCAGTTTCTCAAAATTAGGTAATACACAAACCTCCTATAATAGAGGGGAGCTGGGATGTGGCTCAGTGGCAGAACATTTGCCTGGCATGCATGAGACCCTGGGTTTGATAACCAGCATCGCAGGGGGAAATTGGGGGATGGGGTTTCTTTGAAGACTCGGATTTTTAAAAAATTACTATGCTATTAGATGATCTATGTATTATCCACATAGAACACAAATTTAAACACATGCACTAAAATATCACAGCAGTAGGTATAAAGTGGTTTTCATTGAGAATGATTACAAATTTTCCAAACTTGAAATTAAAAAAACACATTTTTAAAATGAGAGTTCACCAAGCCGCTAGGAGACAGTATTCATAAAACCCAGTTTGATACCGAATGAATTAAATGAACATTGAAGGTCTAATGTTCACAACAAACTGCCATAGATACAAAGACAAGACACTCTGCCTTCAAGAAATTTTTTTGTGGGGGCAGAGGGAATGGGGATTGAATTCAGGGCCACTAGAC